TGCAAGTCATACTTTCTCAAGGTGAGGGACTAGTGGCACTGGCAATGTGCAACTGTCATCCCTTACCCGGCTTTGCTAGTTTTTCTGAAGTACTTCAAGTATGGACTATATGGACAGCTGTTGAAATTGATGCATCTGAAGATGGGCAAGTGCTGAAAAGTCCTGTTTTACCATCTTTCTGCTATTTGGCTCTAAATTTCCTTAAGCTTATTTAGAAGAATCTCCATGCATTTATACCTATAAAATAACTTCTATGCGTAAAAATGTTACCTGACAATATTCCAGCTTCACTTCTCATAATTGTTTTCCTTACTTCAATGTATTGTTTGGGAATTTCAGCACTTCTTATAAGAAGTCATAGTATCAAACAGGTTCATGTAATACCCAAACTTACAGAAAGAGAAAGGCTTCTGATGTGACTATTAAATATGATATGGACTGTAAATGGGATTTATTTAATATGTATTTTAGACAAAGTTAAGAAAGATCACTTATTTTTATTTCCAAATTATAAAAATAGGAATGTAGCATTTATCAGGAGGATGGACCTGTAGTTTTCCATTGTTGTAATGTCCTTACTGACTTCTATAGTGCTTATTGCATAATTTAGTCCAGAAGACTTTGTGCAATCTTAGTATTCTCTCCCCTTGCTTATATGAAACAACTTAGTGTCACTATATAATTAATTCTAATATCTGTTTATCAAAAAGGGATATTTAAGTGAATTAAAATGCAAGCCACCGAATGGAAACTCTAAGTTTATTGTAAATCATTAAGCATACACTTGAAATAGCTAACTTTTATGTTCTATAAATTGTAGCTCAAGGAAGCTGAAAGCAAGCTCTACCAAATGTGATACCAAATCATAACTCTTAAGTCAAAATACTGAAGATTCATTCATGATGAGAGCATCAGAATAGTAATTTGAGAAGGAAATAGTGGCTAGGAGTAACAAAGGGACAAATTTCCGAGCTGCTAGGATTCCATGTCTTGATTTGACATGGATAATTACTTGGGATTTCACATGGTAAAAATCTGTCAAATGGCTCACTTAACATGTATAGCTTGTCCTCTTTCTATGCTGTAATTTAACAGATATTGTACTGAATGTAAAAAAAAATAATACACAAGGAACTGACTCACTTTTGAAGCAAAAATTTTGTTGGGGTGTTTTGTAGAATTCCCTCAAACCATTAGCTTTTATTTTAGGGTCTTTGAAGGCTAATAACAAAACAAGCAAAACCTATGCATGTAATTCTCATTTGCTAGAGAGACAAGTAATTCCAAACAAATTGTCTCCTACTTAGAATACTAATAGATTCAGATGCTATTTTAGAAATATTAATTCTGTATGTTACTTCACATGGGCCTTGTTCTCTTTATCGCTATGAAATGAACGTAGGGCACCAGTAGTTAGCCAGGATGATGAATGGAGAAAACACCTGATTAGGATTGACAACTGTGGGTCCCAGAGTGGAGCTGTCAGGGGGGCTTTTCCATGTCACACTATCCCCATGATGCAGTATTTTTCTACAACTGGAAATCACCATTCCAACTTTATCGACATCAGTAGCTTTTTGTGAAAGTCCATTGAGAGGTTATTCAAGGTGCTTTCTCATGCACTCAGTGTCATCCCAGGTCACTTCTTGGTATTATGAAGAGCAGCAAATATACAAAGTGGAAAAAAATTAACTTGCTTTCAGTGGTGCAGCTTTTAAAATTGAGGTTATAAAAAGTTCCTTAAAAAGTGCCTTATCTGCAAATACTACGTGCCTCCATTTGGTGTGAAAAATGGGTCTCTAAGAATCTTCCTGGCAAGCATAAATTGTGTGCGACTCCAATGGCAGTGTGATTCTGCAGAGGGAGCTTACATGTACATGTGCAGGTTCCCCACATAACTGAGATGGACAACACACACCATGCTACTGATGAGAGTCCACATGAGCGGTTTGAGGCCCAGTCCTACCTTAGGGACGACTGCCATGATATCCTAGAGGGAAAGTCCGTTGCCTGAAAAAAAAAAAAATTGAGAGTAGCTAGCATTTCTCAATATTTTAAACCAAGCATCTTGCCAAGAACTCTACATGCATTTCCTCCTAATTGGTCTTCTGCTCAGAAATCAGAGATTTTTGTAAAGTAAATTATATCATACCGTTCCAATGTTGACCCCTCCCCCACGGGGATCCCCCTTTAATTTTGAACAAAATTCTTCCTCACCTCACTCTGTCTTAAAGATCATCTGTGGTTTTACATGTCTGCCTCTGACTTCAGCAAGTCCAACTCTTCCTTCTCACTTCACTCCAGCCACATGAGCTCAAAGTTACCGCCTTTGTCCTTGCTGTGTCCAGGCATCTCCTCAAGCTTGATGATCATAGAGTGGACAGCTTTTGCTCCTACTTCCCATTCTTTCTACAGAAAGGCACTTTCTAACTACCCCCTAAAAATAGACTGAAAAGGGTTAGGTAACACGCCTCTGGACACGGAGAGGCAAAACACTAATTTGAGCCAAAAATCGTCCAAAGTAGGGGAGCCAGAAGAAAATATAGTTCAAAGACTCAGCGTATGGCTTTATGTTTATATTAACAAAACAATATAAATTGAAAAGTCTCAGTTTTGAGTTGAAGGAAAAATCCTTCTTGACTGCATTGGATTTCTCTCTCTATTGAGTCCAGAAAGAAAAACAGGGAAACCTATCAGAAATGGATAGATTCCTGGACACATGCAACCTACCTAAATTGAACCAGGAAGACATAGAAAACCTAAACAGACCCATAACTGAGACAGAATTTGAACCAGTAATAAAGGCCCCCCCAACAAAGAAAAGCCCAGGACCAGAAGGATTTACTGCTGAATTCTACCAGACATTCAAAGAAGAACTGACTCCAATTCTTCTCAAACTATTCAGAACAATCGAAAAAGAGGGAATCCTCCCAAATTCTTTCTATGAAGCCAGCATCACCTTAATTCCTAAGCTGTAAAAAGATGCAGCATTGAAAGAAAATTACAGACCAATATCCCTGATGAACATAGATGCGAAAATCCTCAATAAAATTCTGGCCAATAGAATGCAACAACACATCAGAAAGATCATCCACCCAGACCAAGTGGTATTTATCCCTGGTCTGCAGGGATGGTTCAGTGTGTGCAAAACAATCAAGGTGATTCACCACATTAACAGACTGCAGAAGAAAAACCATATGATTATCTCAATAGACGCCGAGAAAGCATTTGATAAAATTCAACACCTTTTCATGATGAAAACTCTAAGCAAACTGGGTTTGGAAGGAACATTCCTCAATACAATCAAAGCAATCTATGAAAAACCCACAGCCAACATCCTATTGAATGGGGAAAAGTTGGAAGCATTTCCACTGAGATCTGGTACCAGACAGGGATGCCCACTCTCACCACTGCTATTCAATATAGTTCTGGAAGTTCTAGCCAGAGCTATTAGGCAAGAAAAAAAATTAAAGGGATACAAATTGGGAAGGAAGAACTCAAACTCTCCCTCTTTGCAGATGATATGATTCTTTATTTAGGGGACCCAAAGAACTCATAGAAGATTTTGGCAAAGTAGCAGGGTATAAAATCAATGCACAAAAATCAACAGCCTTTGTATACACAGGCAATTCCATGGCTGAGAAAGAACTGCTAAGATCAATCCCATTCACAATAGCTACAAAAACAATCAAATACCTTGGAATAAACTTAACCAGGGACGTTAAAGATCTCTACAATGAATTACAAAACCTTAAAGAAAGAAATAGAAGAGGATACCAAGAAATGGAAAAATCTTCCATGCTCATGGATTGGAAGAATATCACAAAATGTCCATTCTCCCAAAAGCAATTTATAGATTCAATGCAATCCCAATCAAGATACCAAAGACCTTCTTCTCAGATCTGGAAAAAATGATGCTGAAATTTATATGGAGACACAGGAGACCTCGAATAGCTAAAGAACTCTTGTACAACAAAAACAAAGCTGGAGGCATCACAATACCAGATTTCAGGACATACTACAGGGCAGTTGTAATCAAAACAGCATGGTACTGGTACAGAAACAGATGGATAGACCAATGGAACACAATTGAAACACCAGAAATCAACCCAAACATCTACAGCCAACTTATATTTGATCAAGGATCCAAAACCAATCCCTGGAGTAAGGACAGTCTATTCAATAAATGGTGCTGGGAAAATTGGATTTCCACATGCATAACCATGAAGCAAGACCCCTACCTTTCACCTTACACAAAAATTCACTCAACATGGATTAAAGACTTAAATCTATGACCTGACACCATCAAATTGTGAGAGAGCATTGGAAAAACCCTGCAAGATATAGGTACCAGCAATGACTTCTTGGAAAACACCCCAGAAGCACAGGCAGTCAAAGCCAAAATTAACATTTGGGATTGCATCAAATTGAGAAGTTTCTGTACTTCAAAAGAAAGTCAGGAAAGTGAAGAGACAACCGACAGAATGGGAAAATATATTTGCAAACTATGCAACTGATAAAGGGTTGATAACCAGAATCTACAAAGAGATCAAGAAACTCCACAACATCAAAACCAACAACCCACTTAAGAGATGGGCCAAGGACCTCAATAGACATTTTTCAAAAGAGGAAATCCAAATGGCCAACAGACACATGAAAAAATGTTCAAGATCACTAGCAATCAGGGAAATGCAAATCAAAACCACAATGAGGTTTCACCTCACCCCAGTTAGAATGGCTCACATGCAGAAATCTACCAACAACAGATGCTGGCGAGGATGTGGGGAAAAAGGGACACTAACCCACTGTTGGTGGGAATGCAAACTGGTCAAGCCACTGTGGAAGTCAGTTTGGAGATTCCTCAGAAACCTGAAGATAACCCTACCATTCAACCCAGCCATCCCACTCCTTGGAATTTAACCAAAGGAAACGAAATTGGCAAACAAACATGCTGTCTGCACCTTAATGTTTATTGCAGATGAATTCACAATAGCTAAGACCTGGAACCAACCCAAATGCCCATCAACAGTAGACTGGGCCCGCTGCCGGCGGCCCCTGTGGGTCCCGAGCGCTCCCGGCCCCGGCCCGCTCCCGGGCCCAGCCGCCTCCACGGCCCGCCCCAGTGCTGGAGCAAGGAGCTGCCTAGGGCAGGAGGGCCGGGGACGTGGGGGCGGCCACGGCAGGGTTCACCTCCATTTCAGCTGATCATGGGAGAGATTAAAGTCTCTCCTGATTATAACTGGTTTAGAAGTACAGTTCCCCTTAAAAAGATTATCGTGGACGATGACGACAGTAAGATCTGGTCGCTGTATGATGCGGGCCCTCGGAGTATCAGGTGTCCTCTCATATTCCTCCCCCCTGTCAGCGGGACTGCAGATGTGTTCTTCCGGCAAATTTTGGCTTTGACCGGATGGAGTTACCGGGTAATAGCTGTTCATCTTTTTGGGGCTTCTTTGGGACGCTTTTTGGCCCAGAAATTTGCTGAATATACTCACAAGTCTCCCAGAGTCCATTCCCTCATCCTCTGCAATGCCTTCAATGACACGTCTATCTTTAACCAGACTTGGACCGCAAACAGCTTTTGGCTGATGCCAGCATTTATGCTCAAAAAAATAGTTCTTGGAAACTTTTCTTCTGGCCCAGTGGACCCTATGATGGCCAACGCCATTGACTTCATGGTGGACAGGCTGGAAAGTTTGGGTCAGAGTGAACTGGCTTCCAGGCTTACCCTGAATTGTCAGAATTCTTACGTGGAACCTCATAAAATTCGGGACATCCCCGTGACCATCATGGATGTGTTTGATCAGAGTGCACTTTCAACCGAAGCGAAGGAGGAAATGTACAAACTGTATCCCAACGCCCGGAGAGCTCACCTTAAAACAGGAGGCAATTTCCCATACCTGTGCAGAAGTGCAGAGGTGAACCTTTATGTACAGATACACTTGCTGCAGTTCCACGGAACCAAGTATGCGGCCATCGACCCGTCCATGGTCAGTGCCGAGGAGCTCGAGGTGCAGAAGGGCAACCTCAGCCTCAGCCAGGAGGAGCAGTAGCTGCGGCTCCTGCCGTGGGTGCCGAGGTGACCCGACGTGTCCTTGTGCGGTCGGCGACCCGGCCTCCCGGCGCGGCAGGCTCGCCGGTCCTCCCTGCGTCTGGGAAGCAGGACTGATCGCATCCGGTGAAGCCCGCGCACGGTCCCCTCTTTGGTTTTTAGCTTCGGAGTCCAGGAAGTTCTTTGCAAGACGCCCTTTTAAGGGTTGTGAGAACTGCGCTACCGGAAGTCCTCACCACTGTGTTCTTGAGCGAATGTCGATTTCTGAGGCTTGGGATTTTGTGAACTTTTCTCTCCTTTCTTTTCCTTTGCTTTCTCCCTCCTTTCTTCTTCCTGCTTTTTATGTTATTTTCTGTAAGTGCTGCACGTGCCGACTGTGTGTCAGAAGGACGTTGGCTGCCGTTAGGCCTTCCTGGGTGTGACCGCGTCCGAGGGCCAGGGCTGGCACCCCACTGGGTGCACTCCTGTGACCCAACTGCTTTCACTTTCCAGCTCAGCACATGTTCCGAGTGCCCGCTCTTGTCTTTCTAGATGATTACAGTCATTTGGAATAAAAATTCGATTTCAAAAAAAAAAAAAAACAGTAGACTGGATAAAGAAATTATGGGACATGTACTCTATAGAATACTATACAGCAGTCAAAAACAACGAAACCCGGTCATTTGCAACAAGATGGAGGAATTTGGAAAACATCATGCTGCGTGAATTAAGCCAATCCAAAAGGGACAAATACCACTTGTTCTCCTTGATAGGTGACAACTGAGCACCAAAAAAGAAACCTGTTTAAGTGAAATGAACACTATGAGAAACGCTGACTTGATCAGCCCTCACCCTGACTGTTGATGAGCAACTTGATATGTTATCCCTCTTAGTATTTTTTTGTTTGTTCTACTTAATACTTTTGGTTGAATACTGTAATCAATACACAATTCTTCTTAAGTGCTGAAACTTAACTGAAAAGTGATCGCTGTTAAATGTAAGAGTGGGAGTAAGAGAGGGAAGAGATGTGCAATTCGGGACATGCTCAAGCTGACTTACCTCAAACGGTAGAGTTAGAAACATACCAGGGGACTCCAATTCAATCCCATCAAGGTGGCATGTACCAATGCCATCTCACTAGTCCCAGTGATCAATTTCTGTTCACAATGGATCCTAATGATAGGACTAAGAGCCAAAGGGAGCACATAAACAAGAATAGTGTCTGCAAATACTAGCTGATAGAAGAAAAAGGAGAGAATGATCCAACATGGGAAGTGAGATACACAGCAGACCCATAGAATGGCAGATGTCCTAAACAGCACTCTGGCCTCAGAATCAGCCCTTAGGCATGTGGATCCTGCTGAAAAGCCATGAGAGTATTTCAGGCATGGAAAGCCAAGACACTCTGGAAAAAAAAAAAAAAAAAAAACTAAATGAAAGATCTCCACGAGTGAGATCCCAGTGGAAAGAACGGGTCATCAAAGAAGGAGGTACCTTTCTCTGAAGGGAGGAAAGAACTTCCACTTTGACCATGGCCTTGCCTAAAAATTATCAGAGTCAGTGAACTCATGGGGCTTCCATAGCCTTGGCAGCTCATGACAAGAGCCTAGGGTGATTACTGAGGCCATAAACAAGAGTGTCAATTTGTTAAGTCAACAACAGGAGTCACTGTGCACTTACTCCTCATGTAGGATCTTTGTCCTTAGTGTGCTGTACATTGTGATTTAATGCTATAACTAGTACTCAAACAGTATTTTTCACTTTATGTTTCTGTGTGGGAGCAAACTGTTGAAATCTTTACTTAATGTATGCTAAACTGATCTTCTGTATATAAAGAGCATCGAAAATGAATCTTGATGTGAATAGAAGGGGAGAGGGAGTGGGAAAGGGGAGGGTTGTGGGTGGGAGGGACGTTATGGTGGGGGGAAGCCATTGTAATCCATATTCTGTACTTTGGAAATTTATATTCATTAAATAAAAGTTTAATAAATAAATAAAATAAAATTAATGTAATGAAACAAGACCGCATTTCAGACCTGACAGAGCAGGAGAAAGCTGGGCAAAGAGATGAAAGTAGAGAAACTTTTAGATCTTGTACCTGCCTTCAGGACAGCTTCATTATATTTCCTCATTAAAATAATTGTTGGTGTATTGCCAGATCTCTCCAGCAAACAGGCCCATTGAGGCACTGGGAACTGAATACACACATTACCTAATAAGAAGCGATGGAAGGAAAAGGGGAGATTTCCACTTGGAAGTAGCTATTCCTTGTTGAAACTTCCCAGGGGCAAAGGGCCAACCATCTGAGATAATTGCTAATTAAGATAGGGCAGTCCAGGCCAGAAGCCAGAGCAGTGCCCCAGTGTTGCAATGGGTCTATCGCTCACTAGATTTCTGGCTCTTGATTAAATGTCACCAAATGATGAACTGATTGCTGTGCAGACCTTTCTGGAGGAGACCCTAGTGCAGCATGTGAAGCTATAGCTCAGGAATGTCACAATTCTTTTTGGCAGAGAATCCTTTGGCCAGTGTGTCATGACTCACCATTTCCTTTCTAGCAGACTCCTCCACCTTCTGCTTTACCTGGTACATACCAGGTGCACTCCTTTGCCAAAGATACAACTTGGTTACCTTACTATTTCCTTCAGTATCCGTAGCTATCTATAGGAATACTGATGATTTAGGTTGGCAAAGTGTTATGCAGACTTTGATTACTTATCTGTAGATGAATTGGGAGATAGCAAAGTCAGACTGCGTAGATTCACAGCCTAGTCCTGACACTAGCTCCATTACCTTGCACCAGGTGTTTAATCTAACTTTCAGATCCTTCATCTATAAAAAAGAGGACAAGATCTGTATTTACGTTAGAGGGCTCTTGAAAGTAAATGTGGTACTGTACATAAAAGTAACTGACCATGTACTGAATCTGTAATGTAATACATGTTGCACGAATAATGCAAGTAAAGAATTAGTAGTAATGTGGGGTTATAGACAATGTTCTCGTGCCAGATTTGGTTTCTCCCAGAGGAGTAGCTAAGAATATCACCATTCTACTCCTGGACGCTGATCCTGCTAACTGGGAATAGACTACATCTGATAGCACATCCATTTTGAATGAGGCAAATGTGACTTTTTAATTAAACGGTTAAAGAATAGCAACCACTAACTTCGGAGCTTTTATTATGTACTAGATACTGTTCTACATACTTTGTTGGTTGGGTTTTAGGGGGATTACATCAGTTTACATACACCCTGTACGAAGAGCGGCAGAGACAGCAGGCAAACTCAGGCCACTGCCTCCAGATGGCATCAATGTAAACCCGTCTTTTGCAATCTCTAAATCCCAATCAGATCAATAACTACACCTTTACACTGAATGATCACCTCGCACTTTCTCCAAGACATCATTTCCGTATTCAAAAATAAATCAGTAACAACTGAAAATCACTCTGTATCCCTGTCCAATTATCTGACCATTTCTCTACTCGTTACATAAATTCCCTCAAAGGACTTTATAATACATCTTCACAAATGCTTCTCCCCCAATTTTCTGTTGAACTCATTGCACTCAGGCTTTCACACAAGATGGTTAAAGTGCTTTTTTTCCTTTCTTTTAAAAGCCACTACTTCTCGATACACATTGCTATCGCCAGTGTTTTAATTTCCTTCCTTCTCTGAATTTACCTGTCAGTAGCACTGATGTCATCAGATCCTCCTTGATATAATGTCTTCACTTGACTTCCAGGACCCTACACTGTCTTAATTTTGCTTCTGCCTTTTTAAATTACTCCCCCATACTCAAAACTTAATTCCTCAAATTTCCAAATTACTTGTCCCAGTCTCTAAATATGGGAGTAAGCCAAGCATCAACCCTTGGTCTTCTCTATCTATACTCAATGCCATGAAGATCTCATATATTTGAGTACATAAATTCCACCAATATATCCATGACCACCAAATGTATATTCCATTTCCAGAGTCCTCTTCCAGTTTCAATCATGGCAGTTTTTCACATCTCAGCTTGCCCCTTTCTCCCATCTTTGTTCTTTCAGAATGTTTGCGATCTTTTTCATGTACCCACATGGATATCCTGCTGAATCAGTCTCCTATGTAACCTACCGTATTGTATAAAAATGCCCTTATGACAATGTCCACAATGTTCATGGAAGATAAGATTAGGACAACCCTGGCCTGGAAAGAAGAATTCTTAAATAATATCGGTGGAATGTAAATTACTGCAGCCATTGTGGTAAACAGTACAGAGATTCCTCCCAAAACTAAAAATGCAGCTAATCTATAATCCAGTTATCCCACTCTATACAGAGGAACATAAATTTTACATCAAAGAGACTCATGCATTTCTAGGTGTACTGCAGCCCTACCCATCTCAGCCTAGAAATGGCATCAACTGAGGTATCCACTGGTGATGATGACAATATAAGGGAGAGGAGGAGAGAAAAAGGAGAGAGCTTTGTCATTCGTGGCAAACATAAGCCAGGCACAGACAGACAAACACTACATATTCTCACTCATATGTCATTGTGATTTCACAGAGGTAGAGAGTAATTCCTAGAGGCTAGAGAGCAAGGTTATGGGGAGAACAGGAAGGGTAACAGGTATTAAAATAGTTGTTTACGAGGATAAGTTCTAACACTTTGTAGCACAGTAGTGTGACTGCAGTTTACAACAATTCATTTTATAAGGAATTTATGAGTAAGGTGCATTTTCAGGGTCCTAACACATGCATGATAATTACTACAACCCAATTCTCCTCAATTCCCATGTTAGTATGACACTAATGCAAAGAGACCAAATGCAACGCAGTTCATAGACACACTTGGAGTTTGCAGCTTCCTATCAGGAAGACATTATAAATATTTAAAGGGAGGCAAATTATAATTACGCTGACCTGATCATTATACATTGTATACCGATATAAAATTATCAACATGAACCCTAGAGATATGTCCAATTATTGTGTATACACTAAATAATGAAGAAGATTAGAAAAATCTGATTTCAGCTACAAGAGAGTGGTTTAATGATGATACCATGGAAATCCCAGGATTGTCAGTTCAGCTTTATATGCATTGTTACTCCTTTTATATAATTACTCTGTTATGTCTATTACAGATGAAGGATAGAAATAACCTCTCAGACCAACCACTGCTTACTACCATGGCTAGGGTCCTATTAGCACTGAATATCACTATCATCCTTGCATTATTACAATGCCACATTGTTTTAATGATTAATGCATCGACTTAGCAGTCATTATAGTAATTTTTTAATCAGAAATGACCATTTCCATTTATAATTCCAATGTATAGAGGAGCCACATTTTTCTTGGGTATAAAACCCATTCTATTTTTATTTAATAAAGATTTATTTATTTGAAAGGCAGAGTTACAGACAGGGATAGAGGACACAGAAAGGGAAGAGAGAGAGACACAAAGATTGAGATTTTCTATCCCCTGTATCACCCCTCAAAGCCATGAACCTGCCATTCCATCCAGGTCTCCCTTATGGGTGGCAGGGGCCCAGGTACTTGAGCCATCATCTGCATTTCCAGGCCCGTTAGCAGGGAGCCAGAGTGGAAGTAGAGCAGCTGAG